CTACGTACGACGTACTCATTCGTGTTTGAATTTTAATTTTTTTTCTACGAATCCAAATCACTTGAAATTTTAAGCTTGTATTCTTAAAAAATAGGAGAATCTAATAAAAATATCAAACAAATAATTTTTAAAAAATAAATTGACCAAAATACCCTTGAAATATTTCAGGGGTATTTTGGTCTATTTATTTTTAAAATATTTTTATTAGGTGCACCTTGATGAGATGAATGGACGCCTAAACTTTCAAGTTATTTTGATTCGTAGAAAAAAAGTTAAAATTCAAACACAAAATGATGTCGTGACTGTAAGATCGGCCCAGATTCAATCTGGGCCATTGGGCTCATATGAGCTAGTGGGCTAATCTCAGCATTTTCCTATGTATATATATATATATGGCAGGCACTAAAATGGACAATGTTTTCACCCATAGGCTCAACACCGTTTGATTTTTTCGGACGGTGTGGATAAATTGACCGCACTGGACCTATATGTCCGATACGGTCATTTTTCAAGCAAAATTCACTAGAAACTGCAACGGGTCGTTGCAACTTTTCAATATAAACTGCGATGGCTCTATGAGAGCCGTTGCTAGTGAAATCACTGTACCATTTCGCCCATAAGCGTTTTTAAGGGTTTTCCTATATGTATAGGTTTTACTAATAATGCATTACACTTTTCCTACTCATATTCCCTTTATCTCAACCCTTTTATGGCTCTGTTTATTTCCTTAAGTTGATGATGCACTGGCGCCTGCAAGCCATCTGAGTGAAGTTACTTCTCTTCCAGAATGAGAGAGGAGCGGATGAAGAAGAAAAATGAGGGGGTTTCTGAAGTCTCATCATGGGTAAACAAGAGTAGGAAGATCGAGGAAAAGTTGAGTTCTGAAAAGGAGAAAGCTTTGCATCTAGCCAAGGTCTTTGCTGAGCAGGTTGACAGAGTGTTCTATTGATTTCTTTTTTTAAATTTGTTTGATTTCTATTCTGTTTGAGAGCTTGTTATAAGATATGTGCTTTTGGAACATGCAGGATAGTGTGGTTCAAGAAAGTGACGAGGAAGAGGAGGCTCAGCATAGTGGAAGTAAGATTTTCACCCGTTTTGATTTATAGGAGAAGAATATTTGTGTGTTTATTATTTATTGTTAAAATGATTTGATGGCTTTGATGAACGAGAAACCATCTGAATTATATGACTGCTTTTGTTTTTACCGGCCAAATTGGTTGGATAGCTAGTTTATCCAGTTTCTCCATTTAATTGATGCTCTTCTTCAGTCTTCATTTTTATTTTATGAAAACCAGTATTTAAAGACCTGGATCAGTCAGGCGAACTAGTCATCTGGGAAACCAGATCCGACCAGTTGTCCTAGGTGAGAGGCGATCAATAATAAATTGAAAAAAAATAATAAATGAAAAAAAGTCAGAACGAGGTGATGCCGCCTGTTCGGATCATCTTGTTCCTTGATGGAACTGGCCGGTTCTATGGGGACCAGTCCGATTCCCAGTTCTGATTGGAAACTGGTTTGGTTACCATTGGTTCTTGATTCAGATCAGGTGATTCCGATATAAATTGTTGGTTTCTTGAATGCTGGTCAAAACATTCTATACTCCCTCAGGGGCATTTCCTCCATCACTCCCTTGGTAAAACCCAATCTAGTAGTATATTCAGGACCCCAAATTTTGGGGATATAACCTCTTCAACTGAGTAACCAACCTCAACCAACAAAAGAAAAAAGGGGAAAAAAAAAGAAGAAGAAGCTTTAGACACATTTTATATGTGCCTAATAAACTAAGATTGAATAGAGACAATCAGTTTTTGGAAGGTCAGATTTAAGTATTTAAGAACTCAAAATTCTTGTTCTTTTTTTGGAAAATAATCATCTGGTGATTCTTAAATGAATCCCTAAATTTCAGATTAAAAATCCTCCCAAATAGCGCATTTATCTTATTCTATTCTCAACAGATGTTACTGGATACATTCTATGACCTCTTACTTTCCAAGTCCGAGTAACCACTGGTCTAAACTCTCAATATCTATTCTGTTTTTATGGAACTTTTACCCTGTGTTCTTAATCTACTTGATAGATGGCATACTTCTGATATACTTTTTCTTTGGCTCTTAAATAGAGGATCTTGCTGGGGTGAAGGTTCTTCATGGGCTTGAACAAGTAATAGTTGGAGGAGCTGTAGTCTTGACTCTAAAAGATCAGAATATACTTGCTGATGGTGACCTTAACAATGGTATACTTATTAAAATCTGATTATTTTTTCTGTTTAACCATTCTAGGTGATATTTTCCATAAGCTAACAATATTTTATATGGAGCAGAGGTGGATATGCTCGAGAATGTGGAACTTGGAGAACAAAAACGTCGTGACGAGGCTTATAAGGCTGCAAAGAAAAAACCTGGGATCTATGAAGACAAGTAAGAAGCATGAAATTGATGTTTATGTTTTCTTACATAAGTTCCTTGTTTCCCGCCAATCTCAGTCCTTGTTCTGTGGCATTTTAGGTTTGCAGATGATGATGGTTCTCAGAAGAAAATCTTGCCTCAGTATGATGATACTTCGAAGGATGAGGTAGTTCTTGTGCCCTACGTTAGTAGATTTGCGTGTTTATGAGGATTATTATCGTGGCATTTCTTCATTTGTATGCTCGTCTTCAGGGAGTTGCTCTGGATGAAAGTGGGCACATTACCAGGGAAGCACAGAAGAAGCTGGAAGAGGTTAGTTCATATTTTCTGCATTTCTATTTGATGTCTATGATATGGAGCATATTTCAGGGTCGAAATTTCTGACTTATTTATTGAAGATTATCTTATCAAAAGAGGAGCTGCTTGTAAAGAAATGACTCAGAATTTAAATATTCGTCATATTCTGTGTGGCAGTGGACACTTCATTATTCTCTTGTAGTAATGCCAGCACATTGTCAACTCTGCTGCAAATGTATCTTCCTGTTAAATTCTTTGTGAATGCATGAAGGGCAAATGACCTAAAGATGTCTGAGATATTGCTAATTGGGAGCACCTTTAAAATTTCTAGGCATAACTTACCCAGAAAGATAATTGGAATAAAAACTTAATTATCAATTCTTATTGTTAAGTATCATTTCTATTCTGTTTTTTAGGAATTATAATTTCATTATTATCAACTGTTAGCTGAGGAAAGGTAATTTCATTTCTTATAAATGGCATTCATACTAACAAAAAATGACAACATTCATTTGTATTCAAAAGGATATAGGCCGCATGTTGCTTCCATGTGAAAACATATTGGGGGTCCACAATTTTACGACTAAGCTTGTAAAATTTTACAGAACACTTGGAGTTTCTGATAATTGCTTTTATATTTTTCTTTCACCCTACTTTTTTTTATACTTGCACTATTAGAATGCATTAGACTCAATTTGATGCAGAACTCTTTTTCAGCTTCGGAAAAGGCTACAGGGCGCTTCTACTGGACAACATTTCGAAGACCTCACCGCAACAGGCAAGGTCTCATCAGACTATTATACCCAGGAAGAAATGCTTCAATTTAAGAAACCCAAGAAGAAAAAAGCATTACGAAAGAAGGTCAAACTTGATCTAGATGCCCTAGAAGCTGAAGCCATTGCTTCTGGGCTAGGAGTAGGGGATCGAGGCTCTAGGGCTGATGCTCAGAGGCAGAGAGCTAAAGAAGAAGAAGAGTGGGCAGAGGCCGAAACCAGGAAAGAAGCATACCAATCTGCCTTTGCTAAGGCAAACGAGTCCACAAAAGCCCTTAGAGAAGAGCAAACTTTGAAAGTTGAAGGTGATGAAGATGAAAATCTTGCTTTTGGAGATGATGAAGATCTGCACAAGTCTATAGAAGAAGCAAGAAAATTAGCTCGCAAAAAGCAGGATGAAGGAGCTGCTTCTGGTCCCTTGGCAGTTGCCCAGCTAGCAGTGTCTGCTAGCGAGTCAAAAGATGCAGAGGCCTCAGGGGAGCCACAAGAGAACAGACTTGTGTTCACTGAGGTGGATGAGTTTGTCTTGGGTTTGCAGCATGATGAAGGTCAGTCTCTCTCTCTCTCACACACACACACACACGTGTGCGTGCATGCACACAATGCATGCACTCACAGGCACACATTATGACACATACACAAACACTTGTGAGTGCTCATGTGCACACAGTTGAAAGGGGAGAATATACAGTTGAAGGATCTCGATTCCTAATATGTGGGAAATCTGAGCTTAATTGGGATCAAACGATAAATTATACTTGGACTAGGCTCCATCTAGTTAAAAATCAAAGACCCAAGAGTACTTAACTAGGGTTGCGTTAGTGCTTCAAAAAGCGGACCGCCCAGCGCCTGGGCAGCCGCTTAGGCGGTTTTGGGGGCCTAAGCGCATCCCCTAGGCCTAGGTGCATCGCCCAAGCCTAGGCACCCAAAAAAACCGGATATCCTTGAGCGCCTTTCTAGGTGCCCAGGGCCCAAGGCCTGCGCTCTTCCCGGGGGCGGAAATGTCCGTCGTTGAGGGTATTTTTTGGTCATTTTTTTAATATTAATATGTGCAAAATTATGGGTTTTAGGTTCATTTGAAACCTAGAGCCTATTTTAGAGAGGGAAAAACCCCAAAAAAAAATTTCTACTAGGCCGCCCAGATTCTGGGCGCCCGCCTAGTCTCTAGGCAGCATGGACCCCCGACCGCCTAGCCCTTTTTGAAACACTGGGTTGCGTAGGTCATGAGCAATCTGTACAACATATTGATTAATTAATGATTTGTAAAATCTAAAATAATTAAATATTTCAAAATCCAATTGCTTTGCAATATAATATTTTCCTATGTGAGTGTAGTTTATATTTTAATTAAGCAATATATTTTTTACAAAATAGATATTTTGCATTTTTTGTTTTTTTAGAAATTTTTTTAGAAAAGCAATTCAATATGCATTATTTGGAGATTTACATTTCTATTTGTGCAGTTCGTAACTTTACGTGAAGTAGCAACAATCCAAACCATCCTTATTTGTTAAATAAAATCATAGTGAGATGAAGCCACAGATTTATGTATGCATAAAAAAAATGTTGTTTAATATTGTTTATTAAATAGATTGCATAGCCACCCCACTTTGTGCAAAATAGCCATCCATTATATAGCCACTCCAATGACGCCACCATTGAAGTGGTAATAGGGAATCTGTGGAACCTCGGTTCAGTTTACCTGTGAAACCTTGGATATTATGCTGGGGAATCAGAATCCGGTTTAGTTTACCCATAAAACTCAGGATCTCTATCTCTAATATGATGGATCAAGATTTGAAAGTTAAAAAATTGCTGAGCGATATTCGCCTTTCTGGAGTAGAGAAGCAAATTCTGGAGAGGAATTGACCTCTTGATTTATGGAAAGATGTCATTCTCTGAGATTTGCACCAGTGTGTAGACAACGTATGGCAAACAGAAGGTATAGAATCTCAACATCCGTTGCACTCTTTCTTAACACCTTTTCTTTTTTATAATTATATCTCAAAACCTGTGACTGTATGAAACTTAATCAAACAAAAATTAAAAAAGGGGGGAAATTTGAAGATTGTTACAATATTAGTTTTGATTTGGGGAGCATTAGCCCTGATAAATGACAAAAACTCCATAAATGATGGGAATGTAACTTTGGGAAGTTGGATGCAAGAGACATCCAGGTAGGGTTTGTCCTTGCACTTTTTTTTCCTTGTACCTTCTGACTGTCGTCAATTTTAGGTGCTCAAAACCCTGATGCTGAAGATGTTTTCAAAGAAGATGATGAAGTCCAAAATCCTATTAAGCAGGATGAACCAATGGAGCAGGTTGGTGGGTGGACAGATGTAATAGAGAGTGAAAAAGACGAACAGATGAAAACTGAGGAGGATGAGGAGGTGGTCCCTGATGCAACAATCCAGGAAGCAGTTGTTGGGAAAGGTCTCTCAGGGGCCCTTCAACTGCTGAAAGAGAGAGGAACACTCAAGGAGGCAATTGATTGGGGTGGAAGGAACATGGACAAAAAGAAGAGCAAGTTGGTTGGTGTCCGTGAGAATGATGGGGCAAAGGAAATTGTCCTTGATCGCCTGGATGAATTTGGTCGCATTGTAAGCTCTCTCTCTCCCCAAAAAAGAAAAAAAAAAAAAAAAAGCCATTTTGCACATTTGTTTTTTCATAATTGAGTATGGAACATTGGTTTCAGATGCTTATTGAATAAAGAAGGATTTTCTTTGTCCTTGGTCAGATGACTCCAAAAGAGGCATTTAGAAAGCTTTCTCACAAGTTCCATGGCAAAGGCCCTGGGAAAATGAAGCAGGAAAAGCGGATGAAGCAGTTCATGGAAGAATTGAAGTTGAAGCAAATGAAGGCTTCAGATACCCCGCTATTGTCGATGGAGAAAATGAGGGAGGCACAAGCAAAGACACGGAGCCCTTACATTGTGCTTAGTGGTCAAATAAAACCAGGGTAATTCTGACATTTTAGATTTATATTTCTTTATTTTGTGTTACTCACAAGTGTGAATCTTGGTCACTGCGTTTGCAGTCGTGCAGTTCATATAATTAACATAATTATTCAAATTTCAGGCAAACCAGCGATCCAAGAAGTGGCTTTGCGACTGTGGAGAAGGATCAACCTGGAAGCTTGACTCCTATGCTTGGAGATAGAAAGGTCAGTTAGCTCATTTGATCCTTGGTGATTGGTAAATTGGTTCCACATACACGCACACATATAGAGACTTTGTTCAAGATATCTTTTGTGTTTCTTCTTTCCTTATAGGTAATTTTTATTGATGAGTTACCCCCAAAAAAAAAAAGCTTTATTGATGAGTGATAAAAATGTGATACAAAAGTATGGGCCCCTGATATAGAACAGAATGGCAGGACATGATTTGTATAGCTGACCCCAAATAGTTGGGATGAGGCCTAGATGATTATGATGATGATAACAATATATTTTTAAACGAAGAATAATAATGAGGGGCTAGAAAGAGAGTGAGACTTGGGCCTTTTGGGTGCTTTCAATTTGTGTGTAATACGACACAAATCAAATATTCTCAAATAATAAATAATAATAATGATACTATAGCCGATAGTTATAAACTCACACACACACATTATTCTCAAATAATAAATAATAATAATGATACTATAGCCGATAGTTATAAACTCACACACACACATTATTTGAGATATCCCTTTTTTTCATTTTGATAATTAACTCTCTTGATGAGTAATTAGATAGATTGTATATCTGAAAGAAATTCTCGTAGTAGGTTCCTGTTCTATCAAATCAGAAGTATTTTTTTGGATACTGAGGTTCTTTATATTGGTTTAGGCATGAAGTGTCCTAGAGGTAGAGTGTTTTCTTCCTGTCCGCTTAACTCTATTTAAAGTATTATATTTTTGTGGTTTATTTTTAATTTAGATTTTTATATTTTTGTGGTTTGTATGAGGTGTCAAACTTAAACACTCAAAATAAGTTACACCTCTAAATCTTGCTGGAAAGATGTAATTTTGGTGCTGGAAGCGCGTACAACGATTTTAAAAAAAATCTATTTTACCTCTAATTATGAAATTTAAAGTTCCAAAAATAATGTAGATTGAGCATATCTATAAATACTTAAAATCTTTAAGAATGGATGGTCTAGACACTAGATAATGTGCTAAAAAATGCAATAGTTTTAAGACTTATTTTTTTTCTTTTTTTCCATTTTCTAGACATGTCGAGGTTGATATGATCAATTATAGGGTTTTCAAACATTGAAAAAACATTTTCGGGTGGATTTTGGAAGTGCACCTTACTTCTATTGTATAAGGTTGGCACCTTATATGAACTTTTCCCATTTTAAATTGCTCTCCACCATTCTCTCCTTTCTGGTTTCCTGTTTATTTTCCCTCACATCTAAATAAATTAGAAAAAAACTGTCCGACACTTTTAAATAAATTAGAAAGAAATTTACGAGAAATTCCCTTTTACCATATCAGAAATTCATATGAATCTGGTGATTGTGAGCTTTTTCTCTGCAGGTGGAGCATTTCCTTGGGATCAAACGCAAGGCCGAGCCCAGCAACATGGGTCCACCCAAAAAGCCCAAGGGTTAAAAAGAAGTTCGCCCTTGATGTCATTGTAATATATAATTTTCAGATAAATATTTCAGAAAAATTATGAGTCGAGTGAAGCTGCCGCGTATAGACGGATCAGTTTTTTGTTCTGGCGTTTTCTTATGACTCCGCAATATTTTTTGTATTTCAGGGAGGAAACATATGGGGAGGGTCTTTTTGTCGATCTCTATCTCATAATATAATACATATTTTTTATTGAAAAGTTAGATTGAAATATATATTAGAAAATCTAATTGTGAGAGTATTATTATTTTAATAATGCATTATCCTATCAAAAAGTACGAATAGTCATTTTGCAAGCAGTGAACAGTGAAGAATATCTTCTTATTTTGAGGATTAGTCTTTACTGGACATTTAACCCTTGATTTTTAGGAATTTTATTCTTGGGAAATAGTTTTTTATATGCTGTAACCATGTTGAGATTGTATTGACAATAATAAAAGGATAAAGTTTATGTAAGGCTGCAAACCTTAAATTTATAATTAAGGTTGCTCTTCAAAAATCCATTGGAAAATGTTTAATTTAATGTTAAAAAATCCTCTAATTGATAATCTAGGCATCAAGATGTATGATTATGAAAAAAAAAAAAAAAAGATTTTAAGCTTCGGAAATTGTGCACTTGCAAGGCATTATCTAAATGGATTTTTTAAAAAAAGATTTTTGTGTTTACATAACTACTTGATTTAAACTATTTTTTGTGTTTAACATTGTCATTAGAGTTGGAAATAGATTTCCAGGCATTTCTAAGAATTTATAACATCAAAATTACATCAAATTTGGAGGTGCGTTTTAACTGGATTGTTTAAGTTGTAACCCTGTGTAAACCACACCTATACTAAAAACGTTTCCTACTGGTCATGTATGTAGTGGAGAGAGAGACCACAATAATTAGAGTTTTAAATTGATTTTCAGCAATCTTAAGAATTTTTTATACCCAAATTACAAATTGATTTTTAGGAATTTTAAGAATTTTTTATACCAAAATTACATCTTACCATAACATTGGACGCCTCAATTGAATTGTTTTATGGCTGCAAATCAGAGAGGGAGAAATACGTGCTCTCTAGAATTTCGCATAATGGTGTAAGAAAGTGTATTGGAAGAGAGTTGCAAGAGTATATTTTGTATGAGAAAAAAGGGAATTAATACAAAGTACGATCATCAAGCGCCCATGCACGTGCTACACAAGCATAGTCTTGTGTTGTTTAGAGATAGAAAAAAAGAAAACCGAGTAGAGAGAGATAGAGGGAGAAATAAGTGCTCTCTAAAATTTCGCAGAATGGTGTAAGAAAGTGTATTGGAAGATAGTTGAAAGAGTATATTTTGTATGGAAAAAGGGGAATTAATGCAAACAAGCGCATGCATGTGCAAGCTCGGTACATGCATCATCACTTTCACCTTAGCTCTAAGAATATGAGGCGTAAAAATGTCTACGCTTAAATACCACTCAATACACACTCTTTTTCAATGTGGGACTAAAAAAGCATAGCTTTCTCTCCCTACAAAATAAAGCTTGGAAAAGCAAAAAAGACGGATGCAATAGGAGCCATTATACCACTAACTCCATAGTGAAAAGAAAAGATATGGAGATTTTTTCTTTTTATCTGAAATTTTGGGAACTACTAAAGTATTAGATGAGCATTTAAAGAGGAAAATAAAATGATTTTGATTTTTAGTTTTCAAACAACTAGACCGTCCAAAAATTAAACGAGCTTCTGATCAATTTTTTCAGGGACATACAAAGTATGTATAATGATATATTTACCCTTTTAACACTGATCATTAGGTTGAGGAGGCTACATCCCCAAACCTTCCGGGTCCAAAAATTACTCCCAAAGAATTTACTTGTGGGAATAAATAGACAATTTGCTCTTGTGGTATCACATAATCTTTTCCAATGAAATACAGCATATGCCAATATTCCTTCATCAATGAGGATTGTATATGCACAGTGTGCAAAGTGGGCACTATGACTGAGCAAGTGGGTAGAAATGACTTTAACATGAATTTGGTTACCAAAAAAAAGCCCACTTCTTGAAATTAAATATGTCTCATTGGAAATTATTATTATTTGCTGGAATTACTGTTCAAGTTTCTAAAATTATCTTCTTAGAAAATGTTAAAAACTTTATTGGATTGACTTCAACATATATAGGAAAGTAAATAATGAGACCATTTACCTTTCATATAACGTGGTCACAATTAATTTTGACTATTTGATGTGAAATTAGGTAGCTGTATTTATTTCATTAACTAAACTCAAAATTCAAAAAAAAAATATCGAACATTGTGACACACCCAAACTATCAGATTTCATATCATATGGTTATAAATACTTGTAACCTCCCTATAACAAAAGTAAAAAATCTGTAGGAAGTTTGTCAAAAAGTATCCCATGTACTCTACTGTGAGTTTGTTTTTTCTAAGACCGGTTAAAAAGTATCTAAGATCTTAACTATGGAATGTTTTATCCATATGTTTTGATTTAATTCCAAAAATACCTATTAAAAAAGCACATGATTTTGAGTTGAAACAGTGAAAAAATATAAAATGTTAAATACTTGAGAGCAAAAAGTTTATATAGAGCCGAGGCTCTAAACAATCAAATTAGAACCCACTTCAAAAATTTCATTAGCAGAGATCTTTTTGATGCTCAAATATCCTCAAATTGATCATCTCGACATCAAGATGCATGGACATGAGAAGAAAAATGGATTTCAAGTTTTGAAAATAGTGCATCTTATAACACATTTTTGGTCCGTCAATTTTCAAGATTTTCAAGATTTTATATATCTACTCGATCTACACTATTTTTTAAGCTTTAAATTTTACACGGTTAGATGAAAATATATTTTAAGGCTATCTACATTTCTCAACACTAGTTGAAGGTGTGCGTTACTTTGATTGTTTAGAGCTTTGGCTCTATACAAACCGCACCCAAACTTAAAAAAGGATATGCATTTTGATAAATTTCCTTTTATTTTAACTTTTTCACAGATACATTTGCAATCTTTAAATCCACTAACATCCTTAAGAAATACGATTTCAAGTATGCATTACTGATTGGAGTGCATCACTAGTGTTAAATTAGTAAATTTAGAAAGATTCATATGAATCTACTAATTAATTTTTGAAGGAAAAATATGAATCAGCCTAACTCAATATACTTCAAAAACAAATAAATCACTCTTTCGGTGATGTTTGGGTACACACATAAACATCCTTTAATTTTACGATATTTGAAAAATATCCTTGTTTTTCATATTTTATTAGTATGGTTTTTGTTCTTTCCCAAAGTGCTCAGATTTGAAATTCCAAGTTCCGAACTAGTGTATTTTTTCTCTAAGTAACGTATTAGTTCAGGACTTGGAATTCTGAACCCCTTACACAAAGGGTCTGTTTGTTTGGTGCAACATATGGTAAGCAAGAGACCCAAGTTCCACGAAATTTCAATCATGTGTTTGTTAAATCCTACTGGAAGCCGCAATTTGGAACTTGTGGCTTTCAGTAAGCTGAAATACCACATCGATGATTTGTGGAAGATGGGGCTCTCCACCAATCAAACAAGCTCTAACTTCAAGTTCTAAACCGGTCTCTCACACAAAATATGTACAAGTGTTTGTAGTTTGGGAACACAACCTATTTTTTTCACGAATAAGCAATAGTTCTGCACCAAGATAATGTGAAAAGAAAGTATATATTGTATATCAAGTTAATATGAAAGGTATATATTGTAATATGTTATATATTGTAATCTGTATATTTATAAAAAGGTAGATAGAATATCTTGTATTTATAGTATAGAAAACTGTGATTTATTTTTAGATTTTTCGACTGTAAGTTGTTTATAAAAAACAAGTATGTACATTCATATGATTAAATGGACATTGAGTTTCTTTAGAGAAACCTGATACTTTTCACATATAACTCTAAAACCAAAAGACACTGGTTAGAACTTGGAGTTTTGAATGGTATTTTAGGAAAAATTAAAATACACCAAAAAAAAAAAGAAATATAGGCATAAAATAAATACAAATAAAAAATGGACTGGTTAGCATGCGGCTAGCCTGCATATTTTAGAAATGTGGGCTTGGCAATAGAATTTTTTAAAAATATATATATATTTTTATTCTAAATTTTTAAAAATATATTATATTTAATATGGAGATCATGAATACAAAAAATAAAATAAAAATCGAAAAATAGAAATAATAATTATATTTAAAAAATAATTGGACCGTTAATTACAATTGTTTTTAGATGGACCACCTATTTGTATCTATCTTTAATATTGTGCTCTACACGTCTTGACTGCATATTGTAGAAATACGATCCAACCTGCATGAAAAAAATGATCATAAAAAATACATTTTGAATAGCAAACAATTAAAAATATTTACATCATCTCTTTATATACAAACCACTGATAAAAATCTTAGGTTGGTGGGTTGTCCACCTTACAAAATCTATGTAATATTATAACAAAATCTTAGGTTCGTCTCAATCCGTTAGAATCAATGATCCAAAAAAATATTATAATAAAAAGAATTAAAATAAAGATTTATAGAGTGGAGATTTAGAAGGGGGACTAAAAATAATATTATATAATCTTAATATATATATAGCTTAAGGGGACTTTCTTGAAACCAGTTCGGTTCTAACCCATTCCAAATCCAAATCGGAAGTTCAATCCAAGTCACCAAGTTTTAAAATATTGAATACAAACACATAAGTAAGTATGCCATGTAATTGTCTGTTTTGGTGGAATGAAATGGTTAAAATTTATTAAAAAAATTTAAAAAAAAAAATTAAAAAAATAAAAAAGAAGAAAAAAAGAGAGAATGTGTATCCCCTTGTGTTGGTTGGTTAGTAGTTGTCCTATCTACTTATTACATATTCTCTCTCTTTATCGACCCCATTCATAATATTATGTGAAACCCCTTGCCCTCATTTTTATATATATATATATATATATGGGCGGCAGTGATTCGGTCATGTGAGACAAGACAATGTTGGCTTTATAAGGCAGGCAGGCATCCATTGAGCTGAGCCCAGGAAATTAGAATGATTGTTGGATAAAAGATGAGGCGAGTGGAGGTCGGCTTTTCTCTCTCATCTTTCCTACTCTCTCTCTTATTTCATATTTGGTGTTCTTCTTCTTCAGAGCCCATAGGGTATGGCTACACACTCAAATGCATAAATCAGAGCAGAGATGGCAAATCAATGTCTGGGGAACTCTCTCTCATCAATAATTCCAGTGTCTATGGCCCTGATGTTCACAATCTCATCCTCCAAGTCAAGTAAGCAAACCCCATCTCTCTCTCTCTCTCTCTCTCTCTCTCTCTCTCTCTCTCTCTNTCTCTCTCTCTCTACTACTCTCTCTCTTCTCTCGTCGTCGTCGTCTCTC